GATGCAGTTTACAATACAATATGTTCCTACCCCAGTCCTCCGATATCAGGTCGGTTTTCTACCTTTTTTTGCGAAGGCAGATTTGGTTGCTCACGGGGTAAATTGACTAAATGTCGCGGGAAACTCATCCCCGAATTTTCCCGCTGTAGATTCAGCGGCGAGTGTAAACGATAAAGCCCTAACTTCCCCAACATCTCCGGGCACCACTGAGCGAATTTTCAAGTGTTGCGCGTGAGATGGAAGGCATGGTACGTGACCACGTCCCCCACAATTTATTTTCCGCCCGGTGCGAAAGTTGTTGGAGTCCAAACGGCATTAGCCTGACCTGTGCCACACGCCTACGAAGATGTACATGGGGCAAGAAGATTACATGGGGCAAAGATGGTGTAGATCACCGTTTTATCCTCTCAAATTACTTTTGAACCAGTTGAAGGTGTGGATATTTGGACAGCTTGGTTGACACAGGTGGGAGCCTGTCTGGTATTTGATTCTCAGACCGTGCACGTGTCATTTGCCACTAAACTGCCTCCGCCTGCGGTCACTGCTGTTTTGGCAAACAAGTGATGTGTCATTTTGTAATAACAAGCATGTTTTATTCCTTCATCGCCTTCATCCGGTTCTAATTCTTTTAAGCGGCACAGGAATTTCCCTCGATCGCCGCTCGGAACCCTCTATGAGTCCCATTCGTCCGGTGCCGGCTATCGTCACCGGTCATAAAGCGAGTACAAGCTCTCACATTACAACGGAAGCGAGCGAAGTCGCGTTGAAGCAGGTGACAAGAGGACAAGGCATTCCTTACCCCGACCCGATGTTTTCTTCGCTTCTCTTTTTTGTTTGCTGTTCGTCAAAGCCATGTTGATAATTCGCGATTACGGCGATTCCTCATTGGAATTTGTCCCAAACATAAGCACGTGGTCTCTGCTGAGCGCTCAGTATTCATGCTGATAACAGGGAAAAGAATAGGGTCAAACTATCATAAGAATGCTGAGCTATGGGCAAAGTTTCGATCCCAAAAAGCCTCGAACCCGGTCATCACACTTTACGGGCCAGTGCGCTATCCATAAGGCACCATGATCCTCATCATGTCAGCTGTCAGCTTACAAAATAAAACATGATGTCAGGAGTTAATCAATACATTCAGTTTATACCACAAGCCTTCAGCAGCTTACCCATTAGCTTACCCATTACCACCACATTTCTTGGAATTCAGCCAAGTTTTCATCTGAATGTTATCATGATGCTACAGACCATGTTATGCGTTATGTTATGCGAAACCACCAACTTTGCTGAGAACTACACCATGTGATTTCCAAATTCGCATTTTCTGAAGTGAACCCAAATCCAGCCAGATAAAAGTCCATGTGTCGTGGGGCAAAACAATAAATCTTAAATAAGCTCACCGAGCTACTCTCTTCGACTTCTGGGGCAAGTACATCGAGATCGTCGTTGTCCGACGGTGTTCGAGTCGAAAATGACAGCCAAGCTCGTGCCTGAAACGTTTTTCATTCACAAACCTATCGTACTTTCCATAAATGGTACGTCAACCGCTTGTAAAAATTATCAGAAATACGATTCCTCGAAGAGCGAAAAGTCAGCAACTGGAAAAGTTTTTCATCAACGCCGCAAGTTTCAAAGGCAAATGCGAACCCCAATCTCTTTACAGCGTCCGTGAAGCAAGAAAAATTAACAATTAGAAAAATTTCCTCTGACCAAATACGCTGGGGTTTCCCAACATACGATGTGGTCTGCTTCTCGAACTCACATTCACCTTGGCTCTGGAAGCATTTTCATCCGCTGGCTCTTCGCCATGTGTGGGCGAATCATTTGCTGATGTGGCAGGCGAATTCTCCTTGTCGTTGCCGTCTTTCGAATGTACTGGAGCCAGTTCAGTTGGTGAATTGTCCTGTCGAGTCAACATAACGTCACTCACGTACTCGACCTGAAAAAGAGATCACAGGAAAGTTGAGAAGAGTTCCGGCTGTCAGCCACGTTCATCAGTTGTCAGCAATGCAGGTGTTGGACAGACAAGCGGTCGTCAACAGGCGCTGGCAAGCGGCAGAAATTCTAGAAAGCGATCAGGACGGCACGATTGGCGAGGCGGCGTCCTTTACGGAGTTACAGCCGAAATTTGAGCACTGGCTCATATGTTCAGGGCTCCGATAGTGTGGCAGGTTGAGAGAAGTATAGAGGCAGGAGCATAAAGTCATCACGTTTGTCAAATCAGAAATAAAATAGCATACCGGACAAGTAGGGGAAGTAACTGAAGAACTTCTCGTGCAAAACTGGAACTACCATAATGAATGGTCACCCTTTCTCTATGGAAATCGGTTGAGCCAGCTCGTCCTCCTCTTTGGGTTCAGAAGAGAACCCTAATATTGGTTATGACAGTCGGTCTCGTACAAGCGGTCCTTCAAGTTCATTGCTCCTAGTGGACTTACACCGAAAATAAAAATTTGACAAGGAGTGGGGCATAATGGAAAATGAGAAATGGAGAATTTTTTCAGTCCTTGGATCATGTCTAGTCGCCTCTAGCCTGAATAAGATAGAGAGTATAGATCGTTTACTGACTTGGGATCTCACAAGGATAGGTAAGCTGCGTTCATACTGTGCGGCAGCGTCCACTAGCGTCTCCCAGCTCCCAGCAGGAACACTAGCATTCCGAGCGTCCGCCAGCGTCAGCTTCTATGAAAGTATAGATGTCGATCTAGCGTCTGACAGCGCCTAGTAGAGAGTATGAGGAAGTAAGAGGGTAGCAAATAGTAGGAACAGACGTCGTGAAATTGCGGCGTGTGCAACCACACCGTACAGCTACACTACACCGTACATTAAATTGCATAATTCTGTGCTTTAGCAGTTGTGCGTGCGGTTGCACACGCCGCAATTTCACGACGCCTAATCCAGCTGTTTGCCACCCACCTACTTCCCCATGATCTCTCGGTAGCTGGTGAACGCTGGTGGACACCGGTAGGCGCTAGATCGATACATACTCTTTCCTAGTCGCTGACGCTGCCGACCACTCGGAAAGCTAGTGGTCGCTTGGTGGACGCTGCTACAAAGTATAAACGCAGCTTCACAAACAATGTGACTTGCAGTTGGCATGGACGTGTGAGTATTACTACTCTAGCTGCTTTGAATTCAAGTCAAGCTTAGCCAAAGACAGATGGTACATGCTATGGCGCATAGCGTTAGCCTGACTACTGTGTACATGTTAAATTGTTTACGAGGGAAAAAGTTCGTGCTCCACGAGTTGAGCGATTCAGTGGCGCAATTCGGTACTCGCGGCTGGCCGCGCTGCAGCGCTAAGACTTAGACAACTGCATCTACCGACTCAACCTCATTCAGTGTAGAATTAACTTTGACCGCTGGAACGGTCCAACGATTACCATGGAGAACGGTCGGTCGCGGCGGCGCCGTTTCCTAAATTGCACGTCAGAATCGCTTTAGTCGCGAAGTATGAACATGATCTAAAGGAAGCGAACGAGCGAGCACCCAACTGCACTGGAATGACTTATTGCTATATACCTTTTTGTACCTCACATCGTACTGATCAGCTGATTCGGCGTTAGTGTCGATGGCGTTTGCTGCGTTATGTTCTCCAGTACCGACAGCAGCTGATTGAAGTGGTTGAGGCCTGGCGGCAGCCGTGTCCAGAGCGGCATTTGTGGAATTCTCATCGATCAGACGTATTTCGATCCTTTCAATAGGCGCGTCCAGTCGTTCCACTGAAAGATGGATCTCTCTTGATCTCTCTTGAGCACTTAAAGTCCCTTTAAGCTTTCGGACCTGAGATTTGTAGCAAGGAAATGTTGTTAGGCTGAGCAGGTGTGTGGAAGGAGCAAGAGGGTCGCTTCCGGCGCTCATTAAATGAGATGGCAAATCAACGATTGTGACGTGTAAACGACCACAGTCGTCGTTCGGATTTACGAGGTTCGCAGAAATCGTAGGAGGAGGCAATCGAACTTATTGCTCGTTGCTCTTACGCTAAGCTGAGCGCTGCAAAGGGCGCGACTAGGCCGCTGCTTAAACTGACGCACGAATCAGAACGTTTTTCGGTATCGGACCATTTGCTGTTGTTATGGTCAACACGACGAGAGGTTAGGACCAGGGAGGACTTGATGAGGAACTGGTCGTACAGCAGAGCACTGCTTCTGATACTGCCCTTCTCTCAGCGAATACAGCTACTGTTTCCAGAAGAAAATCGTGCCAAGAAAGGCAAAGGGGTGTTCATAGCAACAGAAACAGTATAAGTTTCATTTTCATCCCTATGTTTTCACAGTCTCCATACTGATGGAGGCCTCTATGTGCAGGTCAACCTTCCTGTCCCCCTCGATGACAGCGCCCTCTCAAAGGCACTTTTGAGTCATAAATGCAAAGGAATTACTTGTAGAAGTTAAAGCTCTGTGTAATTGGAAGTGGCGCTGTTTGGCGACGGGGGGCATTTTGTACTATCATTGCTTCCTTAGTTCCGGTTTACAAGTCTCACTCTGGCGAAACCTGTGAACTCTTGTGAAGCTGGAGCAAGCTCATCTAGCCATCATGTTAAAACCTGTCAACTCGAGAAGAGGCTGTCTAGATAGGTCGACACGTCGATGGGAAGTAGCAAAAGTGCAAAATGCCCGCCTCCCCCCCCCCCTACCCCGTCGCCAAACTGCGCCTCAAAGGTATCCAGGTCAATGAAAACAACTGTACTGGTTTTGCATAAGTAAGCTCTGACGATACTAAGGTGAAAAAATGCCCAAGTGGCTCTGCCTCACAATAGCTTTTGTTGTCATGCTGCTCTTTCGTTGGTCATGTCTGTGCTCTCACGGTAGAACATACCTGTGAATGTGGCCATAGTGGACGAATTTTCATTGTGACGTTTCGCTCGGTACGGTAAGATATCGTAATGAATCGGCGAAGGAATAACGTAGGCAACCGTCAGTAGCACGAGACCAACACGGTAGCACATCGGAACCACTAAAGTCACACGATGCTTTAGCTATTCGAGAAATAGCCCATTGATCAGGAACGAGGTGTATAATCGAATGAGCTAAATGGGTGGGAGGCAAATCGGAAACGGGATAATAGAGGTGACGCCAAATAACAGGAGAAACGTTGTTGCTTACTTACTCCGAATTCCACTAGGGAGCATTGAGCGACCAGAGATATAGTCGGAGGATAGTTCTCTCAGCCCCCCCCCTCCCCGCTCTCCCCCCGCCCCCCCCCCCCTCCGTTCATTTCGCACTGATACACATAAGCGTCGAAGTAAAGGAAGCAGATTATGAGGACGTAGTTTATTTCCGGAGCTGTTGGGTTTAAAAGGAGGGTTTCCTACCTCACCAGTTCCTTTTGCCAGTTTCTGTTAAATCACCCATTTCATCTTGGCGAGACCTGTAGACTGCTGTCAACAGTGAACGAAGCCTGTGCTTTACAGAAGTTCACAGATCTCCGCATGAGATCTGGCAATGATCGACGAGAACCAGCGAATGTCCCCACCAAGCCAAAGTGCCTCAGCCAAAGCCCATATTCCCATTTCTAGCCATCTCTCCCTATCTTCCTCCCCAGCTTGACCCCCTCAACAACAACCGTCGAGTAGGAGGAGAGGTTGAGGTAATGTCAGTATTAGTTAAAGTACGACTCTGAAAACCGGACATCCCGAGGTGTGTCCTGTAACGGTGAGAATATAAGATGAACAAAATTCTACCATGTTAATACGCACATTTCCTCCCCCCCCTCTCTGATGTAGACTCCACGAGTGTACAATTCTGAATGGAAACTCCTTCCCCGGGAACTGTGGTGTGCACTGAACCAAAGCAACAAAGACTAACAGCAAGGGCTATACAATGCCACCTCGGCTGCCCAGCTGAACGACATTCGAATGGATGCTGGGTGCTTGGCACATCCCAAGGAATCATTTGTCTCCTACTATGTGCTCTCAGGGGAAGATCAACAGCGGCCGTAGCGGTGTTCGCAAAGCAGTAAATGCCAGTACACGTGCTTTAGAACCTGAGTTCAAACTTGCCATCACAATTCGCGGAACGATCCCTGTATTCGGGACCTGGGAATCCCACGCTATGATTTCCCTGAATCGATAGGGCTAGAAGTCTAGAGAGCACACCAACTATCTGGGAGGCCAAGCTCGTGAAATATGTGAAGTGGATTTCAGATAGATAGAAAATTAAAAAAAAACGATAAATCATGACGAGTGTTTCAGGTTCGCGAGCTACTGTTAGTGTTGATTAGAGCGGATAGATGACAAGCGAAGATGAAACAGCTGACATCCTTAGGGCGGGCAAGAGGAAGAAGAAGAGGACGACGAGAGCAAAGAGAAGCAGGAAGAAACCCAGAGTGAAAAGGAGTTTACTTTCTAACTGCGACGTCATTCGGAGCAGATTGACTAGTTGTTATTAGTTCTAATTGTTAATTGGATGATTCAGTTTCTGAGGTGCTTCTGGTGGATCGCTACCCTGAAAGATGACTTTCATGTGGCTCCGCAAATAGGAATGAAAACATCGACTTGCATCAGAACATTCTATGGAATCAGGGAAGGGAGACAGGTGGTGGACTTGAAATAAATTGGTGGTTCCCTATTTGAATAATGGGCGACAACGGAAACGCAGCCGCCTTCAGAGGCACATTCAGCGACCACCTATCAGAACCTGTGTGAGATGGACTACCATGTAAAAGTGTTGCGTTTGAAAGTTGTAATGGTAAGGCATCAAAGCACAAAACTGGTCAAGTGTTTCCGCCCGCGTTGCTAGATGTCGTGCCTGTCATCTCGCTCGTTTGCGCGCTCTCTGACAGAACTTGTCTGGTCTCTTGGCCTCTAAAATCTTCGCCATTTCTTCCTAGAGCAGGGGAAGGGAGGGGGGTGTAAGGCCTTTTTGGGACCCACTCTTTCTGACCAGTGAGTCTCGAACTAATAAAGTTAAAGGATAGAAGTCTTCGCCGTTGATCAATCCCTTTGTGGGATGCGGCACGCATTCTACTTCCATTCAGAATCGTAGTGGCTTATTGAATGCGATGTGGCCTATACAATGACTTGCGGGGGCCAGCCGATGTACAAGTCATGTTTTTTATCCTCCCCACACGAAACTGGTACCAGTTTATGCCCCGGCGAGTGGAGATCTTGCTTGGCCTACCGACCTGGAATTCGAAACCGCGATCGCGCCTGTGCTAAGCGTGCCACTTGCCACTATGACACCTCCGCCCTCTAGCACACGCACGTTTATAATGTCGTGTCTGCTAGGGGATTTCGAAAGGCCGCTAGAAAAGTCGAACGCAACCTTGCGCTGCAGAAGGTTGTGGTGCTATTGTTCAAAGTATGGTGCTGAGTGTTAAAATAGTGCGTTGCTTTCACTCGACACGAGAATGGCCTGTATTTGGACCGACCACCCTTTCTGACTGAAATCCATTAGTACTAATCGACTCGTTCTTCAATAAAAGTGTGTTCTGTGAAAGCAAAAGTGAAAGAGGTTCCCACGTCACTCGCCAAGGAAAACTCAGAATTCTTCCAGGTTTTCCATTTGTGGATCGATCCCCAAAGCAGAGCGTGTGAAGATATGTCTACGAATCTCCACTTCTGTCCTACAGAGTGGTTAGACAACGTTACAAGTGAAGAAGGAGATACTTCTGGGTAGACCAGTCCCGGAAGCGCCAGCGACTAAACCCTCCAGAAAAAATCGGTTGTGCTGTTCAGTGGGAAGGTGATGCTATGCATATGATGAGGCGTTCGTGGGCTCAAAATCACAGGGAAGTATTTCCTCTCAATGCTATGGCTACCAGCAAACCCTAATTGCAAAGGGAACTGGTCAAAATACATAATGTTCGGATCCAACAGAATCCAACAAAATTCGCCTGTTCCACGACAGCTCAAGGCCCGATGAGCAAGAAAAAACGATGAAAGTCTAAGGCCCTATGAGGAAGAAAAAACGATGAAAGATGATGACAGCTCGAGATCCTGATGCTCCCTATCAGCGAGAGACCGTGGACAAGATAAGAGAAGGACGTTAGGATCTTCCGCTACCTGAGAGGCAAGCTGCCAATACCAGATGCTGCAGCTGACAAGGGAGGTCGTTCAGGTAGTGGTGAGCTTTTGAAAACGATTTGCTGCATGATGTATGGTCCATGCATGGATCACCAGATGGGGTTCATTTTGCTAAACATTATTGGGAAGCCAGTAAGCAATAAAAAAATTCAGCAAGAAAGGTGGACTTGAACCAACTTATTCAGCTCCGTTCTAGCTGTAGCGCTGAGAATGTATAGATTATGTTCTTCGAATAGGCATGAAAAACAAGCAAAGATGAGGTCAAAATCCAACTACTTTACTCGGCTTGTAGTGAGCTACATTGAAGTTTCTTGGTCATCTCATGTCTCTTCTATGGGTCCTGCATCTCTGTAAGCGTGCACTCGCAAGTTTGCTGCTTGAGGACAGTACTGGTAGATGTGGACAGCGATGGTGTTCTTCCATTTCATGTGTCCCTCCGAATCAAAGAGGTACGGCTTCAGTGATCCACTGGGAGCCGTCTCGCAGCTTGCCGCGTTCGGCTTCTGCCTATAATAGCACCACTTATGTAGAGCAAATTAAACACGTTCTAACCATGGCATCTGCTTTGCATGAACACATTGCAATAAAGGAGTAACACACGTGCTGGCATACAAGAAATTTGAACAGCGGCGGCACTGTTCAAATTAACTAACTAACTAACTTAATACCGAACAACCAGCATGGCTTCACCCCGGGTCGTTCCGTTGAAACCAACATGATTGAATGCCTTGATGAGTGGACTAAGACCCTTGATAATAATGGGTGTTGTGATGTTATCTATTTCGATTTCGCCAAGGCTTTTGACAGGGTATCGCACGCAAAGCTAATCCATAAGTTGAAAGAATTGAAATTTCATCCTATTCTTATTAACTGGATTACCAATTTCCTCACAGGTAGGTCTTTCCAAGTAAGGGTTGGGAAGTGCTATTCCGTCAGTAAAGAGGTTTATAGTGGCGTCCCCCAAGGTGGAGTTCTGTCACCGGTGCTGTTTAACATCTTCACCGCAGAGATTCCCAGCTTGTTTCAGGGACTTGGTGTTTCGACCAAGATGTATGCAGATGATGTGAAAATTTACAAGAGGATTCTGGGACAGTCTGACTGTGAAGACCTTCAGAGAGCCATTGACCGGCTTAGTAACTGGGCAAAAACATGGCAGCTTCCTCTCGCCCCGCATAAAACGCTTTGCATGAGAATTTCTTGAATTCGGGAGCCATTCCTCACCCGTACACCATAGACGGTGTTGCCGTCTCCCCAGTCAACTCTGTTAGGGACCTTGGCTTTCGTTATTCCAACACTTTAGACTTTTCCGAACATATCAAAAACCGATGTAACTCGGCTTTCTCAGGACGCTTCACATTTTCCAAGGGTTTGTCCTCTACCAACAAGACAAACCCCTGGAAATCATATCATAATCAGTTCTGCATAATCAGTGAATCAGTTCTGCATAAGGCGTACAAAACATACGTTCGCCCTTTAGTAGAGACGGGAGCTGCTGTGTTCTTTCCCACTAAGAAACGGGATGTGTTAGCCTTGGAGAAGGTGCAAAATAACTATACTCGTAAAATTCTTTTGCGAACCAGGAGCTTCCTGTATTCGAGGGTTCCCAAAGCTTCCATCAGGAACAAATACTTTGAACTTTCCACCCTCGAAACACGTCGGATGGTTGCGGATGTGTGCATGGTTTACAAGCTCATGTACGGGTCTAAAGGGTCAAATCCTCTCAATTTGTTTGAAATCCAGCATTCACGGACCAGAGGTGGGCAAGCTAAAATTCTCTTAGCCTGTCCGAGAACCAGAGTTAGAGCCGCTAGCTTCTCATTCAGAGCCGCGAGCACATATAAGAAGGTCACAAAGAATTTAGCTGTTCCCAATACTGTACGACAGCTTAAGAGGATTGTAGCTGCACGGCTACTTAGTTACGGAACATCCTAGTTGTTTGAGATTGACTTCAGAATTTCCTAACTTGATCAAGTAATTGAATAGTCTAGTCTCGGATCGTTGCCAGCTCGAGTCGCATCATTCCACTTTAATGAGTTTGATATTTTCTTGATATACTAGCAAGCGTATTTTCCGAGTTTGATGTGTCGTTGTCTTTTTACTATTTTCAATGGTTTTCTTTTCGTCGTTCTTCTGTTTGTTCTATTCTCTCACGTTTGCCTTATGCAGCGTAATAAACATAACATAACACTGCCACGGTTTCCTTCACCAATGGAGGGCTTTTCAAAGAAACGGCTTAGTCAAGGAAGAGTACCGCGAGCTTGGGGACGGCCCTGCGAGTGTGGAAGCAGCACTTGGCGAGCAAAGAATAGTTTCTTAACCTTTAGGACCACTCTTTACTCCAAAAAAGTTCTGGAAGAAATGACCACTACGAAAGTGGTTTTTCATTCCAAGAGTGTTATGACGTCCATTTGATGAGAAAACGTTCAGGTGGAAAAATGTAAATAACAGCGAAGGGCACGAACGGGCAAGTCGTTCATTGCAGCAGTTCCTCTTCGCTATGAATAGGTTCTTTCACAGCACTCTCTCTGAGCCACATTCCAATAGGATTTATTTCAGTGCAAAAACGTGGTCGAAAAAACCGCACGGCTGACTACGCTCTCCTTTCGGAACCTTTTTTCAGGCATGCGGACGTGACATTCTTAAGCGCCCTTACGAGGGGTCTTCAATGTATCTTCCGTATAGGTATCAAGGAAAAGGCAGAAAATTCTGGATAAGATTTCATTTTTCACTGTAGCTCCGATAATCTCAATACACTTGTTTGCTCGGGAAACTAACTTTTCAACACCCTCTGAAAAACATTTTCTCCCTTGTCTCCAAAATGCTCATTATGAAGGCCTTTTTTCTGGTTGGGACCAGAAGTAATCACCGATCATCTTCGCAATTTTGTTTCCATTTTCTTTTCATTTTTCTCGAATTTTTTCGATCAGTAACCATTTACACGCATTAATCATTCTGATCTTCTTTCACCAGGGATGACTAGAATAGCATTGGTGACTAAATGAAACTTCGTACTTACAGGGGGAGCGGCAAAAAGAAGAGACTTTGGATGAGTCACATATCAGCAGAGTTTACGCAGCCCAGACAGAGGACGTGGATACGAAGGGCGGAAGATACCCAAGATGTTCCTCGATAAGCAGGAGCTGGCTCTCGCCCATCACCATGTACACCAAAATATGAAGTCATCTCCAGTCGCAGCCTGACTGGAGAAGACCTTTGGAATTCACGTCACCTCCAAACAGCTGCGAAACTTCTAGTATGGAGTCACCCATGGATAGCTACCTGGAGACCAGTACTCTCGATCTGGATGACCTCCAACATCGAGCAGCTCCGACAACGTCGCTACGGTCTAGGACATCATCTTCACCACAGTCGCCAAGGCGCCAGTTGATGGTGGGGACCGGACGTACCTGGAATGGAGAGACCGATATTTTCTTCGTGGGCCCCGGACTGAAGGTGAGCGCTGGCGGTTACATCGAGCAACTCGAGAAGAATATCCTCTCCACATGTCGCCCGTACCTTCTTGGAAACTTTGTACTGCTACAGCATTGGTGCCACCACATGAAATCGAAGGGCGTTGGAGAAACTCTTGCCTACTTGGAATGGAAGGGCGTTGAGTACCTGAAGAAGGTGGAATATCTAAGCAGGTAACCTGACCTAAACCCCTCAATTACCTGGTTCGGGCGGAGTTCAATAGGGTGGTCTACAGTGGCGGAGAAATCAACGATCTCGCTGAACTCAGGCACCGAATCACGGTCGCGTGGCAGAATCTCTCGTCCAGAAGGCTGTGGCGGAGTATCGTGATAGTGTACAATGTGTTGTTGAATATGGTGGTGGAAATGTCCAATCAGAATTCAATAAAGTGTAACTTATATCGCCTTGAAAGTCAAGGAAGAAAAGTGTCTTTTCTTGGTCCCCTCTGTATACCCTCAGGAGTCGTTACCTATTGAAATGATTTAAGTCCCTCCGTCACTGCATTACCCCGATATTGGGCGGCCCGCGTACATAACGTTTTTCATCTATCATGGGGTCTATTTTAGTTGGCACAGCATAACCACATGTCATACTTTGTAGGTACATTTGTTGAAAAATTCGGCTCATCAGAAAGAGGTCATAAATAATGGGAGACGAATCTCTTTCATGTGACTTGTACACTGCACAGCAAAGATCATTGCGAAATGCGAGGACGAACGTCCTTTTGGACTACTGGCCTTGTTACCCAAACCTTCGAACTCGCTGTGGCCGGAGTGACTTTGGCCACGCCCCCTTTGGAGAGCACGGAAAAAACTGCATTTTGCTGAGTTGTCGAGTAAATAAACCCCGGTTTTCGACGGCAAAGCGCTATTTTTACCTGCACCACTTTCTCTTTCCCCCTGTCAATGTTATTTATGCAAACCAGAAGCTGTAGAAATCTTGAATTTATTGTACATGGCAATATAAAGCGTATATACAAACACTATATAAAAGGATGGATGCATGTCGTTTGGCTGAACCGCGCGCGGCAAACTAATGCCGCGCCCATTCTTGGAAGCGGCTAAATTTCGCACCAATCGCGTACCAATAGGTTGGCGCGCGCCATGCGTTCCAGAGTTAATAACAAACCTTGCGAAAGGACAAACAAAAACAAGGCAGGTGACATGAAACGAAATGAGGTAGTATGAACCCTTACCTATAGAAAAGCTCGTCAGTACACGCAAAACTTCTTAGGTCTGGAAGTCCGAAATGCGGCGATGAGACGGAAGCAGTGTTGCAAGTGCTCAAATGCTCAAATGTCGCCTGACCACACATGCGAAATTGTAGCAGATAAGCGAATCATCATTCTGTTGTGCGCGCGGCGACCTAGATCACGGCCGTCGCTGCGACTCGGATTTCCTGACCCACACCCAACATCTCATTGTACTCAATAGAGACTACAGCTATGAAGGTGCCAGCATACTGGAAAATGATACAAACAATACAATAGGCAACGAAATTATACCGGTTATCACAAGAATGCTGAGTTGTGGGCAAAAGTCGTGCCCCAGGCGGGTTCGACTTCCCACTTTTGCCCACAAACGTGTGAGTGCTGATAGGCTACGGCATAAAAGCCGTTAAGCTGAGAGGGTAAAAGCGGCCCTGGTGGCGTAACAGCGCACTCGCCCGGAAAGCGTGAGGTGCGGGTTCGACTCCCGCCTGGGGCACGACTTTTGCCCACAACTCAGCATTCTTGTGATAACATTCGGAACGCGTACTGCGGCGTTAAACAGCAGTTATCGAAACAGATACCGGTTATGTTTTGAGTGGCCGCGTAGCACGGAGCAGATGAACCCAGCGCTAACAGTTGGGGTTTGGCGCTGTCTGAAGGATCATTCGGTCCGTTTTTCGATGATCAGAGGAATGCCGTTGCTTGGCCTGAGGATCATTTCAGGCAATCCACGATTCTCCTTGAAGGTCATGGTAGCACGGAAGCGAAATTGACGAACGAGTCGTGCTAAAAGGATCTTTTCCTCCATCACAGCGAATCTCTGGCCTGAAAGAGGTGAGTGAGCAATGTCTGGGTACCAGCTCCAGACCCTTCAGGATAGACTTGGCCCCCAAATTTTAGCACGAAAAACTGGCAGAAAAAATTACCGATGCAGTTCCTTGGACCTGCTGACCATGGAATAAAGGCGTAAGCACTGCGATTTGAGCAACTGTCAACATCAAAATGATCTGGGTAGAAGTCACGCGGGCGCTCGAAGTACTGTAATACAACATTTCGAACATTGCGAACACTGAACTGATCGTGTGAAGCCAAATTTTTAGCTGGCCCCCTTCATACTCAACGTTTTAGGGAAATCGGCGACATGGATTACACACACTCGAAATCCTGAGATGTGGTGGATGTGGCTGCGTATTTCAACTAAACGCGGCGGTGGATGTTTACTCCTTATCCTTGAGATGGAGTAGGCGTGGCATTCCAACATGGCACAGAATTAAGTTTCTCGTGGGATATTTCAGTTCGAGACAACTGTCATCTTGTTCAGTGCTGGACAGTGACACGACCACAATTGTGTAAAATGAAAATATCTTCTCAGAAGCACAGCCACGGCCACGTTTAGTTCAAGTACGCAGCCACGCCTACCCCGTCTCAGGGATTTCGCGTATA